ATTAAATTTAATTAAAAATTAATTAAAATGAAATTCCGTAATACAGGCTTATGATGGACCACCCAGCTCAGGTGACACTCATTGGGGTTGAGCAGAAAGGAGTCTCACATATAAGGTCCCACAGCGTGAACATTAAATGAAAATTTAAAATGATATTAGTGTGATGTAATGACATTCAGCCACTGTTACCTCAATTTATCCACAACAGACAAACACTAATGAAGTGAAAACAGCCAGTTCCACCATGCAGGTGTGCAGTGAGTCACCCAGTCTGAAAACATGGTTCACGCCATCAACTTTAACATTCATGAACCGCAGAAGGCATCTGAACAGAGGGCCATCAAGTCACATGCTCTTCTCCGTCTCCTTTTGAAATACTCAGATACACCCTTCAGCCTTTCTCTCTAAACTCTCAAAACTAACTCACCACTCAATAGACCTTTTTTGCCTCGGGACGCATGCTGACATTTAGCTGATCCTGCTAATGACGTAAAATTAAATGTACACCACAATACTCAGTCAGTAATCAGTATTGTTTGCCTCACCTAAAAATTAAATTTTTATTTTTAAAAACATAGAAATAATTAATATTTTAATAGGTTTGCATTAAATTATTTGTAGGTAATTTTTTTTTGCGTTTTTTCATCACTGCAGTTCTATAGTCCAATGAAGTACTGACCTGAGTGAAAGACAATATTTGTTTCATTTTTCCAATCAATTCAATGAAGCAGAGATACAAATCAGCCCCTGATGTCCAGAAATCACTGGGACATGGAAAAACAGGAATGGAGACACTCACTAGGCTCAGCATTCCCATATTCCAGCCTGGTGCTCTCTTCTCGATAAAACAAAAGCAGGGAGATGTTCGTATCAGACACTCAGACATGCTGCTAAATATTCATAATCATTGCTGCGGTTTTTAAAAATACAGTGATTTCATAAAAATGAACCTACCATTGTTTTGTGGATTAGTTATGTTGAGTGTCTTACCTCAGATCAGACAGAAAGCAAAAACAGGGCAAAATCCCTTATCCTTAGAGGAAAAGCAGAGTATGAGTCAGAAAATAATGGATAATCACATTAGTACACAATGTTACTCAGTGTTAATTTGCCTGACGCACTTATTTTTAAATTAGTTTACATGCAATAGTTTTAGTCAATGGCACTACTGATTAATTTCATAAAACTCAATGTTGCCTTTTTGAAGGTTCCAACAGCAAGGTTTTTTCCAAGGAATGAACCAATGACCATATCCCTCACAGTTTCTGATATTAACCCATGTCTGATGTCATCTGCTAGCATGTGAAGGAAGAGCCCAAACACACAGACATAAATCTTCCCTTTCTGGAAATATCAGTTATTCTAGTAAAAAGAACAATATTCTCCACTTTATGCAATATTCCTGAAAAACACTAATTTCTCACTAATTGTTTAAAACAGAGATTAGGGCCTAGAGAAGAAAAATCAGTCGAATTGGTTCTTACAGGCTGCAGATGAATCGCCGTGGCTGGAATGAATCTCTGGCTCTTAACCTTTTGTGTATGTTCCGGAACTTGTGTATGTGTGTGCCTGCAACACATTTTTCCCCTTCTTTGAAAAAAAAACTTTTTATGTGTCTTCTATTTGCATTATCATTACTGACATACATAAAAACACATATACATCAGGTTTTAAAAACAATAAGTTCTGTGTTACTCATTTATATCAAATGGATTCCAAAACTATCTAAACATTCCACTAAAGAATCCACTAAAGCCAACAATGGGAGCAATTGAGACAGAACACAAACAGTACCCAAAGATGCATTAACATCGTCAGAAGTCCCTGAGCTATTTGAGTTTTGAAAGAGCCTGTTATTTTCTACGATGGTGTAATTGTCTATCGGGCCGGAGATGAGTAATTTCTCATTTGACAAGAAATACCAGTTCCTAAGGCTGCTGGTCACCTTAAAGAATGAGCTCAATGCAGCTTACAATTTTAAATAGTTCAAATACATCAGTGACGTGACAGTTGGAAGTACTTAATTATTCACGGATGATTTATGGCAAATTCATGTAACTTATAGCATAAGATGAAATAACATGAAATTGGTTTCATAAGAATCATAATAACAGCGTGACCCTTATTAAGGAAAAATACAAATAAAAATCACGGAACCAGTCCAAACATATTATGATTCTCCCAAAATGTATTATATTACAGTAAATATGAAGCAAAAATGTAAAATAGAAGGGAAACTTCATAAAAAAATATTTCCTATCATGTAGTGGAAGATTTCATTACTACAAGAAGTTAAAATAAATAGTCCTCAGTTACTGCCTTATTAGCGATATAGGCCAATATTTATTAAAAGCTGCTGTACACAAGACAGGAAGATACTAAAATAGAATGTGCATTGTTTAATCAATTTTTGCATGTTTCATCTATTTTACTTTGTACATCATATATATTTCAATTTTCTGTATATTTTCTACCTTTTTAATATTTTCTATTTATTAATAGCATATTGTATAGATTTTGTATGTTTTGCTTTTATTGCTTTCATTTTTAATTTTTATTACTCATTGTACTTAGTGTTGGTTGTGTACAGAGCCCACCACTATAGCAAAGAAAACTCCTTGTGGAATCAATCTGCTTTGCAATAAACTAAAATCTGATTCTGAATATTTCATTGGTATTGACACGTTTCTCCATTTCATTCGTCTTCATTGTGTATATCAATGAAAACATTCTTCTACATAAGTCATCAGGAAATGCACTAACCAGAAATCATACTTTTAAATTTTACATAATAATTATTATTATTATTAACCAGAAATCATACTTTTAAATTTTACATGAAACATACACGACTGCTTTGTACATGATGTACAGCACAAGCTGTACATTTATGAACGTATGATTTTGAAAACAAATTGACCAATAGCTGCATAAAACTATCTCAAAATGGAAATAAGATTACATGCAATACTAAAGCGATGTCAACTGACCAATCAGAATGGTTATGAAAGGTGCAACCCAAGCACAGTTCTCTGCCTCCTGGTAATACATGCATTCAGGAGGAGCCTTTGGTCTTTTACAAAATACATGAGGGTGACCACACATCCTCTTTTTCATCTTTTTTTGTATATTTTTTGGGACCTAAAAGTACCGGAAATGTCCAGGATTTCGCTTTGTTTCACGTTAACATTTGCTTTCTACAGTCAGAATACTTCCTGTGTACATAGATGTGTTGCTGTGATGCCTCTCTGTGTCCTGCAGCCACTGTCCTCTATTTTGCAAAGCAAAATATGGTCACCCAAGTATGTATGAATGTCTTTAATATATATAAAACTCGAAAGTGCGTATTTCAGGAAAGGGCCAAAACAACAAAAAAATATGTATATAGAACAGACTTCTTCAGAGGATTTAAGGAGATGACTTAGAGAATGGCCTAGCACAGGCATAGCCTAAATAAAAGTATTTTCCATTTGATTATATGTGTCGTTTCACCTGGGAATCAAACCCAAGGGTAAAGAGCAACTATATAACGAGAAACTGATGTCATGTTAAAATTTAACATTCTTTAACACCTGAAAGTGAGTGAGTGCGGTCCAATCACTCAGTGAAAGCCACATATGGGAAGGATCATGGATGCGGTTAGGTCTGATCAATAGCCCCAGATAAACTTGACTTAGCCCCTGATTATTCCAATAGCCATAAATGGCCCTAGGAAGGATGAGAAGCAGTGGACATGCACATTGCAAATGATTTCGTGACCTGTTTCCAGTTCAGGGAAGACTGTGGAGTATGATATTAGCAGATTTCTTTAAATGAGGTTAACTGGAGGTTGTTGAGGGGGTTAATTTTATTAATACATGTAATCGTGGATGTGAAAGTACAGCTGAAAACTAGTCAACCCTGCAATAAGAATCAAGTCTGCAGGTGATGAATTAATTTTCTGGTGTCAATTTGTAGTTGCTATTAACCATTCCTACAGTAATCTGGTCCAAGTCAGAGAGCAAATGACACTCGGCCTCAAGCATAATAAAACCACACATGCGTGCTTTGGAATGAGTATTACAGGAATTAACAGAAGAGCACTAATGCCCTCAGGCAGAGTAAATGAGTTCGTCATTTGGCAAGAGCTATTAGTTGGTAAAGCTGCCACTCACCTTCAAGGATGAATTACATACAGCTTTCAATTTTAAAGAGAATTCTTCAAATACATGAAACACATACGAATGTACCTAATTATTAACTAATGATTCATGCCCAAAACTTTCAGCAAAATTTCATATTGCAGTGGAAGATTTAATAACTGGAAGAAGCTAAAATACACAGTACTAACTGCCCTACTAGTAATACGTCTATACAGGCCTACTGTATTTGTGATTGTGGTGTGCTTCTGCAGAAATCACTATGTTCGCTCACATATTATTTGAGTTTTTTTTTTCTTCCCAAAACTTTGACACGTATCTACTACAGTTTTTCCAACAAACTCCATTCCACCTCTCAAATGTTCCACTCACTGAGAAGCGTGCGTTTTCCTCTTTTTTCATTGCTCTGCCCATCAAATTTTCCCCATAGACTTGTATAGAGAAATTTTTCAAACTGCCCCATTGATATTCAACATAAAATCTACGAACTTGCTGAAAACCAGTCTGCAGCTCATAAGTATTCAACTAATGTGCATTAATCAAAAGCAGAGTAGCCAGTGGGTTAGGGTGTGTCGCGATACATTACATCAGTGTTTCCCAACTCAGTCCTCGGGGAACACCGGCAGTCCACGTTTTTGCTTCCTCTCAGCACGCCTGTGCCAGGTATTCGGTGTTCCTGATTGCCTGGGAGTTGGGAGGGAGCAAAAACGTGGACAGTCCGGGGTTTCCCCATGGACTGGGTTGGGAAACACTGCCGTACATAATGCGCTCAGCATTTAGGCTCGAAACGCCGATTCTAGTTATTAAAATTCGCTGCCGCATGGTGTGTATACGGTTTTATTACACAACCAAAGGAGGACATCAGGACGGAATTCGTATTGTTTAATGAATATTTCATCGTTATTTACACGGTTTCCTATTTTGTTCATTTTCATTGTATATCAATTAAAACATTCTCCTATATAACCGATTTCTGAAAAGTAAATGCACTAATCACAAACTGTACCTTTAAATTTAACGTAAAAAGAGACATACACGCAACTGCTTTGTACACGATGTACACACAAGTCGTACATTTACGATCATATGATTTTAAAACAAAATGACCAATAACTGTATAAAACCAGGCACAAAATGGAAACGAGAGTAAATACTGGAATATACGAAAGCGCACTGCAGTCACATGAAAAAAAAAAATTAGACACCTTAATATTTTGTAATTATGATTTACTATCTCATAATTTACAGGAAAGTATTTCGTATTTACGAGGTAGTAAGTCATAATTACAAGAGAAGGTATCTAATTTCTTTTCCGCAACGTTTTCCTGATATTTACTTAGTAGGCCTAAGTCATAATTACGAAATAAGGTGTATATATTTTTACACTGTGTGAATTCATTGCGCTTCCGTAGTAACGGTAAGAGAGGAAATTTTCAAAAGCAACGTAAACTTTCAGGGAAAAAAAATACAAGTTTTACAAAAACTGGGGGCAGCGCTGGGTTGCTCCTTAGTGCTTAAAAAAGTTATTTAAAATCAGTGTACATACGCGCGAGACATAACGAAATCAATTTATATGTACATATTATGCATGTGCACGCATACACACACAGGTAACAGTACATGTTTATAAGCAGGTCATTCATTGACCCAACGTGGAGACCGGACAGACGGCCAGAGGTGAGCGGAAGACTGGGCAGGGGCTCTTAATGCAACGATCCAAGGGGCAGCTCAAACCCAGACAGGGTATGAATTAGTCAAATGCTGACATACACAAGCAGTTGCCACTTTATTAGTTACACCTAGCTAGTACCGGGCTTTGCCTTCAGGACCGCTTTAAGATCTACATTCAGGAAAGCAGTTCTGCAGACAACTGTTGTACTGACCTGCTATTTTTCTGCAGTTGCAGCTTTTGTAGTTTTACCAAGTATGGCAATTCTCCTCTGATAGCATCAGTCTGAGCTACATGTATATACTTGAAGCACCACGCTAGATTATATGGCGAAGCTCCCGGTTCTGCTTGTGTGCTGCATGCATGGTGTTTAATTGCGTTAATGAGGTATCCCTAATAAACTGGCCACTGGAGCGCAAGCGCAGAACCGCTATGAACCTGTGTTGAATAGTTTCCTCTGATGTGCTGTATAAATCGCCTGTTTTCTCTTAAAAATTAAATGTGTCAAAGTCCCACGACCTCTGGCAACCTGTCCAATCCTACCTTTTTAAAACCAGCATTTCCCTTTTCAACTTGCCCTGCTGCCTGGAACTCTGGGTTAATATACGTGAAGCTGTAACTGTGTCGTAACGCGCCGGATTAAAAGAGCCGGTTTCGGCCTAGTAGATGTTCTCTATCAGACGAAATTAATTAAATCGTAAGGAAACGCGCAGCAGACACAAGGCGCCTCACATGGTATGGGCGACACCGCTTCTGCATAAGCAGACACAAGCACGCCTACTCACAGACATTTTTAAAGGGTACAAATGAAACACATCTCAATGTGTTAAAGTACACAAAGACAAATGAACGAAAACGCATTACACATTTAATGCTGTTTTAAATAATAATTAAATTCGATCGTTTAACGGAATGTAGATACGAGTGCCGCTAGATGGCATAAAAATCCTGACGTCATGCTGTACCAGGATAAAAACGACTTTTCGGGTCACGTGTCTTTTTATGGCACCGCGGATTATTACCCCTTTTGCAGCTGCAGACTAAGCACATTCGCATCAGGGTCTAAATAGTGGCAGTGTTAGTGCTCGCTCACCTTCACATTCCATTGCCGTGTACATTTGCTGGTTAACAGACCTAAGCGTGTTTTCTGTGCCCAGGTACTGGCAGAGCTAGTCATTCTGCTTGGTTACACCACATGTTTACCTGCCTCTCTATCACAGACGTGTTTGTGATATGAGGCACTGGATCCTTTAATGCAGGACTTCATCCCTGCTCTTGCTGTGTTCAGGCCTCAGTCGTGAGGCAGACTGTCCTCCTCTGTTATGCCCTGGGCTCGCAGCTCCTCCAGCACATTGTCCAGGTGCCCTGGGTCTGGGTATCCGTGGCCGGTCAGGTTGGAGCCGAACTCAGTCTTGTGGTGGATCTCGTTCCAGATGACGGTGTCCGACTCGCCAGTGGTGCTGGAGGTTCCCACGGAAAAGAGGAGCCTGCGATCCCAGGCCACCAGCAGCAGGCGCAGCACCTGATTGGTGGGATTGGGGTGGTACACGCACATGGAGGTGTGAGCCCTCCGTCAAGAACTCATGCACTACTGCAGGGGTGCACAACTCCAGTCCTGGAGGGCCAGAGCCCTGCACATTTTTGGGTTTCCCCTCATTTAACACACCTGATTCAACTCCTTGTGCTAATTACCACAAAGCTCTTGAGCTGAATCATTTATGGTGGAACAGGGAAAGAACTAAGCTAAACAGGGCTCCGGCCCTCCAGGACTGGAGTTGGGCCTCCCTGCACTACTGTGTCACCACTGCTTTAGGGTACCGATAGATCTAAACCTCTTCATTGTAGATGAGATACTCTGAACACGGAAATGTTAAAGCACAATAGTGCTAGTTACTGTTACTGAGGGCCTGTGACCAGCATGGTCACTAAAGAGCTAGACCCAAGAAGCAGGCCCCATGTGACTTTGTGTACCTTGCGGCCTTTTTCGCTGTCGGGGAGGTAGCAGTGTCGAGGAAAGCCTCTGGCAGTGAAGGGCTTGCCTGGGTTTGGGTGCTCAGGGCCCTAAAGGAGAGAGGCACAGGGAGTTGGAAAGAGGACCTGGGTCGAAGTTAGAATGGTCCAGTTAGAGGGTTGCAGGAGTGTGCAAACTGGTGTGCTAGTCCAGGTGCGTAGAATAGGAGTGTAGAGTCTGAAGGTGTCTAATAGTTGTGATAATTCTAGGTGAGTAATAGATGTGTAAAGTCTATGTGTGTGTTATAGGTGTCTAAAATGTACATGTGTGGTATAGGTGTACAATAATAATAATAAAAAAATAATAATAACCTTTATCTATATAGCACTCTTCATGCATTAAATGCAACCCAGAGGACTTTACACAAAAAATAATGAAAAAAGTAATAAGTAAAAATAAGGAAAGAAGAAACAAACAACTAAACAGGGTAAATAAGTGTAAGAAGACAGTATAAAAGTATACAAATTAGAATAAATAAGATGATATATAGAAGTAAAAACAAAATATAAAATTTGAATAAGACATTTGTGCATAAAAGAGAATCATAGGGACACAAATTAAAAGTACTAAATATTAAAAGCCAGGGTAAATAAATATGTTTTTAAAAGCTTATTTAAAACAGGAAAAGTGCCTCAGTTTCATTCCATAGTTTGGGTGCATAATGACTAAAAGCTGCCCCCCGGATTTCTTTGTAACTCTTAGAATGTTGAGAATCGTAGAATTTGAAGACCTAAGAGCCCTAGGGGGAGGATCGACAGATGAAAGATCAGTAATGTGGTGCTTAGATGGTGCTAAAGCCACTAAGTGCTTTATAAGTGAGTAAAAGAATTTGAAAATCTATTCTAAAAGACACGGGTAGCCGATGAAGTTCATGCAAGAGTGGTGTAACATGATCAAATCTCTACTTTCAGAAGTGTTCTAGCTGCTGCGTTTTCAATAATCTGTAATTCGTCAATAGTGTTCTTTGGTAGGCTGGCAAAAAGAGAGTTCCAATAATCAAGACGAGAAGTGGTAAAAGCATACATCAACTTTTCAGCAACTTTCAGTGATAAAAAAAGGCCTGACTTTAGTGGAAAAAGGCTGTCTTGGTCACATATTGGATATGGCTTCTAAAATTCAAATCACAATCCACAATTACACCAAGATTTCGAACATGAGATTTAGTCTGGGTCACTAAGCTACCAAGCCTTGACTTCACCTTCTCTGTCATTCCCTGGTCTATAATAATCACCTCTGTCAACGTATGTTATGGGTGTGTAAAGTCTACACATATCTTATAGGTATGTAAAATATATGTATGTGTGTTATAGGAGTGTACTGTCTACATGTGTGTTTTATAGGTCTGCAAAGTGTGTTATCGGTGTGGGTGAAGCTCAGGTGTCACACGATTTTACTTTGTACCAGCCCATGGTGGCCATTAGTGAGCACATGGTACCTGGATGCCAGGCGGGATGGTGTAAATGATGCGGATGGTCCTGCAGTCGGGGTGCCCAGGCAGCGAGTGGGGAATGACGTGGTATTCCATCTTTCCCGGCGGCTGGCTCCCAGTCTTAACGCCATAGATGGTCTTGCAGGTGGGGCACTGTAAGCTACCATCACGGTTGCCGTTGTTATACATGGCGACCAGGCACTGCAGGTGGTACTGGTGCCCGCACTGCGCCAGACGGCCCACCGATTCACCCCGTGAAACACCTCCCACGCCGGGGCCCTTGTAACCCGAGGGGCCCCCTAGTGGCTCCATGCAGATGGTGCAATCCTGTGACGATGAGGTGGTAAGTCAATAATACAAACTTTTAGTCAATAATGGGGGGGCTTAGAAGCTCACAGGGAGTCTTACCTCCTCGGGGGGGTTACGGACCTTCTGCAGATACTTCTTTACCACCTCTTCTGGAGTTCTACCTGAGAGCGAGTGAGACTTTAATCATTTATTTCATTATTTTGCACAGACTGCCTTTAAAAGGTTGTTCTACAGTTAAACGGAAGGATATGTATGTCCATGAATAGGCTCCAGAGTCTATGAACAAGTTCTAATGGCTTTGAGCAGGTACTGCCTTACTCTTTCGGGCCTGCTTCTTGCTGGTCTTTCGGCAACAGTGTCCCAGTCCTGGAATGGGCTTGATGTCACTCTTGCTGACAGGAGGTGGATGTAGGACAAGTTTGGGGGGTCGGGTCAGACATACGGGGAGACCTGCTGCGCTCATCAGAATACCTGTAATGCCTGACAGGAGAAGGAAGAGGAGCTGAGCAGCAAGACACCACATACACACAGCCAGAGCTACCGAGCAGCCAGAGAGCCTGTTTGTCTGCTGTGTTAGTAATTAAATGTTCGGCAAGTAAATTAGGAAAATTAGTGCTGGTGTGAGCTATTATCTCACATACATTTACTTAAACAGACTTGGCAATAAAGGAGGGAGCTTTGAAATACCCACCCACAACTCTCAGAGACCCCCTTCCCCCATCCGCCTGACTCTCTGACTTTACCTGGCTCTCTGTGACTGTTTATCTCTGACTTTATCTAGCTCTATCTGTGGGTCTGTCTGTCTCTGAATTTATCTGACTCTGTTTGTCTCTATGACTATCTGTCTCTACCAGTGGCACTGTCTCTCTTGCTTTATCTGGCTGCGGCTCTGTGGCTCTGACAGTGGCTCTGCCTGTCTGTCTGACTTTATCTGGTTCTGCCTGTGGGTCACTGCATTATGTAATTATACTGCATTATGTAATAACTCAACAAAATGTAACCAACTTAATGCATTGTGCTTATATTATCTAACTGCTTTAACACAGCATAATAACCTATAGGTACAGGTGCTAGTTTGATTAAGTTAACATGGCTTGTTTGCTATAAGATCTTGGTATATTAGAAGATCCCTTACATTAATCACAGCCTTGAAACTAGGGAGATCATATTTAACTAGCTGACATTTTACTATTCCATATAGCAGGGGTGGCCAATCTTATCCGCAAAGGGCCGCTGTGTGTGTGGGTTTTCCCTAATCATATTACTAATTAGAGGACTGATTGGCTGAGGAGTCATCACACCTGGGTTTGAACAGCTGACCTAAAGGTTACCCCAAAAACCTGCATAGACACCGGCCCTTTGTGGATAAGATTGGCCACCACTGCTATATAGCATGATGTGTACAATTCTGACATAGGGTATAACTGAGTTTCAGCAGTGGTTCAGATATACTGAGTCCATGGTTCTGATTTGATGGTTAACGACAGTGTTAGCGATGTCTGTTATAGTGTAATTATTACCAGTGCTAAAGAAATGTAATACAGAACAGCTTTCAAAAATGTAGGACCACGGTACCTCCTTAGTACCGGTATGCCGTGCAACACTAGTTTGCACAAACTCTGAGATATTTGGTAAAACTTTACTCAAAGAAGTCATATTAGATACCTTCCTAATGCATTGTAATGCATTCATAAAGTATTATAAATGCAGCTATAAATATATATAAAAATATTTATAAAAAGTCTGTCTCTCTGACTTTATGTGGCTCAGTCTGTGGGTCTGTCTGTCTCTCTGACTTTATCTGGCTCTGAGTCTGTCTGTCTACCCTTACCTGCCAGGGCTGGGTGCACGGGGCTGGAACCATTAAGATTCTTCACTGGGACAGTGGGGACCCTGAAAAAGCAGCAGACATGAAAAAGCAGCATGAAGCATGCAGCATATGGGCGGAGAGATGGAGAGCTGTAAGCACAGCTCCTCGTGGATTACACGCACTTTACTTCACACCCACACGTTCTGACGTCTACTCTTCTGGGACGCAGTCATGCAGAAATGCCACTGCTGCACGCTATTCCCCGCAGCGTTGGCTGCAGGGGACTGACGCAGACGCGTTCAAAGCACACAAATGCCTGTTTCGCATGCACTGGCAGACGAGCCTCCGGGGCAGTCATACTCAGCGGAAGCTCTCGATTACACTAAAAGCCTAACATGTGGAATGAGGCGCCGTTCTGCCATCCTCTGTCTCCCACCCTGCTCACCGGCCCCACTGCCCGCCTTGCCACCTCAGCAGAGGCCACGGCACCCCTGGGGGGGGATTACCTGCGGTCACAGGTGTGGCAGCTGGGGGCCGTGATGAGCTTCTTCAGACATACAGGCACACAAAGGGAGAGCCCATTTCCACGGTTCTGATTTATTCTATTTAAAGCATAAGCGTTCACACCCTGGCTGTAGATTCAATAACAATACGATCTAATTTAAGCTCCTTGCCGATTTCCCAATCCGGTGAGACTGACTATCCCAGATAATCAGCATTCCTCAAGGCATTTGTTTTCCGTGAGAGCAAGAAACACCAGCCCTCATTTAGGAAGTCGGCCTAAGACTCGACTGCTCACGAACCCACACTGCAACAGTTCGAGTTCACTTCATTTATAAAGCACATTTCTCACAATCGCAGTTGAAACAAAGTGCCGTACAATCAAAATAGTAAAAACCCAAACACTTAAAGCATCAGAGACAATAGATAGCTCCCATCCAGAGTTAAAAGCCAAAGAATAAAAAAAAAACGTTTTTACACATTAAACACGGAAAGTGTTAGTGCCCGGCGAATATGCATGGGCAGCTCATTCCACAGTTTCAGAGCTAAAACCGCAAATGCCCGATCTCCCCTACGCTTTATCCTGGAGTTCCGAACCATAAGAAGGGACTGATCAAACGATATTAATGACCTTGGTGGGATATATGGTCTTAAAGGTCTGAGAGATAGGTTGGAGTAAAGCCATTTAGTGATTTATATAAACATTAATATTTTGAAATCAGTACTTAAGTACACTGAAAGCCAGTGCAGAGAGGGAAGTATAGGAGAAATATGACCACACTTTTGCATTGCTGTTAGTAGTCAGCTGCTGCATTTTGGACCAGTTGTATGCCTAAAATGGAGACCTGGCTGAACCATAAAGGGAACTGCTGCAATCAAGCCGGAAAGAAAAAAATGCATGTATGAACCTTTCAAAGGCGCCGAAGGACAAAAAGGGCTTGACCTTTGATAAGAGCCTCAACTGGGGGAAAAAACTTTTTTAACCACAGAATTTTTCAGGAATTACCTGCTCGCCATTTCTAATGCAGTACTTTAAAAAGTTTTAATAAGATAAGATGAATAAGATGACTTATTCATCCCAGGATTAAATTTCTGTGCATCCAGCAGTGAGCTATGTAATACCTGCCACCAAATATGAAGTGCTGTCTTGGTGTGGGGGTGGGACTCTGCTGTAGTAATAAACCTTGACACACGTGCTGAAGAACCTTGAAGCAAATCTCCACACAGCACACAAAGCAGGAGTACGCCGAACATGGCTGCACACTTGGGGTTAACGGATGCCCCCCAGGTGCCGAAGGGTGGCGCTGACGAGGAGACAGAGAAACATATGGCCAGTAAATGCGAGACGCCAATCAAGTGAGGATTACGCTTCCTCCAGGTATTCACTCAGCAGAATGAGCTTAAAAAAAATGTGTTCTTAACACCTTAGAATATGGAAATGCCAGAAAATATCACTCAGTAATAGGGGGTTTCACCTCAGTGGGAACAAATCATGAAACTTTAAGCTCTAAATTTGTTTTGGACCACTGCACCATCTACTGGCACACTGCTGCACTGCACTAAGCACCTCTCCAATGACACCGGAAAAACAAAGAAGTTGCCATGGAAACGAAGTGTTGGTGGTTGGCGTGTCAGCACCGGGACATCTTGCTCTGAATAATCTGAAGGGTTTGTTACCATGGACACGGCATGCAGAGTCTCCAGCGTGTGCTTTCTGGGTAGAAGTCCATTTCAGCATGCAGAGGACTGCGCGGAAATTAGCTGATATTTCAGTGGCACCGTTATTCTCTAACCGGCTTTGAATGAACTTCAGGAATGTGCAGAATCTCTGCTGCACAAGGTTGGACATTTTAGTGCTCTCCTGAGAGAGACTCCTGACCTGTGATACATCAGGGTAAAAGGCTGCAGTCCCATATGGCTTGCTATTGACCTGAGAATCTTAATCCGCTCACACACATACATACAGACACACATACGCACACAAACACACACACACAGGTACCCCCACCTGTACTCTAAATACGCAAATCTAAAACTGAAAATTTATTTTAACTGACTTGCCCTCAAATGATGCAAATATCATTAAAATATTTTTGCTTGACTCATAACAGCGGACCCATCACTGGCATGCACACCATGAAAGAGAATTGAACCAGAAAACACAAATGAGTGCAGCAAGCAACTAGCAGGAAAAAGGGGCACCTGTAACAGGTCAGCTAGGCCCCTGAGCAGCTATGTTTACCAGATATATTAAGTGTGGCCTCAAATGGTCAGACTCTGCCCCCTAGTGGCAGGAAGCAGGCTCGCCAGAAAAGCCTCTTTTCTGAGTGGCTTGTTGCTGAGCCCTTTTCCAGCTGGTTGCACACATCCTGCATTTCTCCCCTCCATCTCACTGCTCTGCACTCCCACACATGCAGTCCCTCCTGCTGCCTTGTGAAGTCTGTCAATGTTTACATCCATCCATCATCTAGCTACTTATGATCAGGAGAGGCATGGAGCATAGAGAACAAGCCTCGGTCACACGCTGGGTGGGATGCTGGTCCTTCACATGGTGCATACACACACACACACAGGTTTGTAATTATCTTTGTGGGGACTCTCCATTGATTTCTATGGGGAAAACTCTAATCCCAATATGCCACCCTTAACCCCAACCCAGCACTAACCTTAACCATCAGTAACCAAACTAAATACGAGACTTTCGGCATTTTTCGTTTTCTGATTGCAGCCTCAGATTTTTATAACACTGAGTTTCCTCTTGCGAAAAAAATGCTCCCTACAATGTACCACACATACACAGAGGCACAAACACACACATACAGACACACACACACACAGAGGCGCATGCACACACACACACATGCAGACACACCCACATACAGACAGACACACACACATACAGACAGACACACACACATACAGACAGACACACACACATACAGACAGACACACAGAGGCGCGCGCGCACACACACACACACAGACAGACACACATACAGACACACACACATACAGACAGACACACACACACAGAGGCACGTGCACACACACACACACACACACATACAGACAGACACACATACAGACACACACACATACAGACAGACACACGCACACATACAGACAGACACACACACACATACAGACAGACACACAGAGGCATCTGCACACACACAGACAGACACACACACACACATACAGACAGACACACATACAGACACACACACACAGACAGACACACACAGAGGCGCACACACACACACACATACAGACACACACACACATACAGACAGACACACACATACAGACAGACACACATACAGACAGACACACATACAGACACACACACATACAGACACACACACATACAGACACACACACGCACACATACAGACAGACACACACACATACAGACACACACACACATACAGACAGACACACAGAGGCGCGCGCGCACACATGCACACACACAGACAGACACACACACACAGAGGCACGTGCACACACACACACATACAGACAGACACACATACAGACAGACACACACACACAGAGGCACGTGCACACACACACACATACAGACAGACACACATACACAGAGGCACGTGCACACACACACACATACAGACAGACACACATACAGACACACACACATACAGACAGACACACACACACACACACATATAGACACACACACACATACAGACACACACACACATACAGACAGACACACATACAGACACACACACATACAGACAGACACACACATACAGACAGACACACACACACAGAGGCATGTGCACACACACACACATACAGACACACACACATACAGACAGACACACACATACAGACACACGCACACATACAGACAGACACACACACACAGAGGCATCTGCACACACACAGACAGACACACACAGAGGCGCACACACACACATACAGACAGACACACACACACACACACATATAGACACACACACACATACAGACACACACACACATACAGACAGACACACACACACACATACAGACAGACACACACACACATACAGACAGACACACATACAGACACACACACACACAGGCATCTGCACACACACAGACAGACACACACAGAGGCGCACACACATACAGACAGACACACACACACACATATAGACACACACACATACAGACAGACAGACACACGCACACACACACACACAGACAGACAAATGCGCACACACACACACAGACAGACACACACAGAGGCGCACACACACACATACAGACAGACACACACACACACATATAGACACACACATACAGAGACAGACACACGCACACACACACACAGACAGACAAACGCGCACACACACACACACACACACAGACAGACACACACAGAGGCGCACACACACACATACAGACAGACACACACACACACATATAGACACACACACACACATACAGACAGACAGACACACGCACACACACACAGACAGACAAACGCGCACACACACACACACAGACAGACAAACGCGCACACACACACACACACAGACAGACACACACACACCCCTAGCTGCTGCTCCTAGCCTCGCCTTGTGGCACCCAGATGCTCCCTTGGTCTTGGCCTCTGTGTTTATTCGGATGGCTGCCTGTATGGCTCGGGCCCAGCGACCTCACAGGAGCCCGACTCCCCCCCCCATCCAGCTCCCAAGGCTCCGGCACTCTCACACATGCCTGGAGATGGATTCAGAAAGGCCCTGACAACAGCCACCGCCCCGCAGAGGGCCCCCTACCCCTGCATGCCGCTCTGTGCAGGAAGGCTGCTTTGTGCCGCTAATGTGAGCAGGCTCCAAAAGCTGGTCAAAGGTTGCCATGGAGACGAGGCCTGTGCACATAATGTGCAAAAAGGCCCCCGGGAAAAAAAGAGGCCTGGGAACCGGGGAGAGGGCAGTTTATGGGGGGGGGGTCGGTGTAAGGCAGCCAAGGGTGTTCAAAGAGATGGGGGGCACTACTGACTCTTTTTGACGCCACCCCAGTGCTCCATGGAACTCGAGCGGAAGACTGATTTTAAGTTCACAAATGCAGCATACCATGGTCATCAGCATGGCATTCACATCACACCTTGCTAATTACTCCCATGGCACAGAGTAACATATCAGGTTAACATTCCGCAACAGCTTTTTGTCTCCTTTCACTGCTCCGTGGGGCATCTATATTACGACACGCAATTTAAAATCCAAACTTGTTCAAATGTAATGTTATATCACACACATGACAAGTATCTCTCTTTCTTTAATCCTGTTTACCAACATTCAGTTTAGTTAAACCAACAGTACCTGATACTGTACAATCATCCTGCCCATACAAGATTGCAACAGCTTGACGGCAGAAATGAAGAATGCGCACAGAGCACTGTGAAGACACACAGGAGCATGACACCCCGACGACTGGGGAGTGAATGAGGAATGAGGAACAGGTGTGCTGATCAATGATACATTTTAAGAGACATGACTCAGCGTTTCTTATTACACTAGGCAACCTTATCACTACAGCAACAACAGCATTGGTTGCTATGGCAACATGAGCCTCAGCAGGAAGGCGGCACTGTTACTATGGTGACGGCGTCAGGGAAGCCACTTACCCGGAGGCGATGAGGGCACGGGACTGCGCCATGGCGATGCGGTGCAGGGTGGGCCGGCTGAGACCCGCCAGGCTGGAGCGGGCGGGCAGCGGTGCGGTACAAGAGGCAGAGGAGGCTGTGGGCCTCTGGGCAGGAGGGGGGCCAGCTGGCAAAGAGGAGAGGGATGATGCTGTTGCCGTGGGGATGAGGGAGGCACTGGGGAGCAAGGGGGTGGTGACACTGTTGGTGGAGGATGAGGGGTTCGATGCAGGCGGTGCAGACGAGATGGGCGGTGGGGGAGGTGGTGGGGGGAGCGGCGGCTGGTGCGGGTGGCTGGGAGGGAGCAGCGGCGGGGGCAGCGATGGGAGAGGGGGAGGGGGGGTTCGGGCGGAGGACAGAGACAGGAGAGGGGGTGCAGGGCCCAGCAGGGAGAGCGACTGGGCATAAGTGGTAGGGCTCCTGTGTGCCGAGAGTGAGCGGCTCAGGGACAGGGGATGTGGCAGTGTGTGCGAGTAGGAGATGGGGTTAGGGGAGGCCGAGGAGGTAGCCATGCGGCCCCCCAGGGTCAGTTTCGGGCTTGGGGGCTTGGGTTGCGCTGGTCGCCGGCCCAGCGTATGCGCCATGGCACTGGCCTTAACGCTTAGGACCAGCATGCACTGTGGGCAGGCACAGGGCTGGCTCAGGCTGCTGAGGGAAGACACGGACAGGGAGCCACCAGCGAAGGCTGCCCCGCTGCTCCCACTCACTGCCGTCGCTCCCACGCCGACGAGCCCACCGGCCGAGGCACCGACCCCAGGGGAGCTTGCCCCCCAGGCCTTGGGTAACGGCCCGGACACCAACGGGTAGGCCAAGTCCGAGCGCCTCTGGATGCGCCGTCGCCGGTTCGTCTGCCGGTTGATCTGGGTCATGCTCTGGAAGTCGATGAGGTAACAGAAGCCGAGTGGCGCCAAGTCAAGCCAGGGCTGTTGGCGGTCCCGCGCCGCCTGGATGGCGATGCCCACCTCCGTGTCGTAGGCTGTCCAGGAGCCCGAGTCGTTCTCCCACTCCCAGAGCCAGCCCTGGCCTGGAGCAGAGGCGGGGTCATAGAAGCTGCGGCGCACGGGGCGCAGGGTGCCTGCGGGGGACAGGTGTACTTATACTGGGTGCTGTAGTACAGTGTGGGTACAGGGACTGAACACAGCTGAAGGGAGGGTTAATACAGTACAATACAGATACGGTGATTGAACACTACTGCACATTAACATTGTACTGAGAGAGGGGGTTAATACAGTTTAGATACAGTGACTGAAGACTGCTGAACATTAACACTGCAGAGAGAGATGGTTAATACAATACAGTATAGATAAGGTGATCACAAACATTCTGACAGAACAGAGTATGTATGGGGCAGCACAGCTGGACCTACATTCTCCTCAGCATTGCTTTCTGGGATAGAGTCCCACGTTCTGCTCTTTCACTGTAATTTTCAGCTTGTGTGCGAAACTTGCCATGAAGATCCTCCCCCCCCCCCACCACCTCGTCTGACATACTGAGCCCAGAGGGCCTTCTGTTTCCCTCACAGGGTCTCCTCCTCTCCTGCTCCCTAGCTGGCCTCCTACCCTCTCTGTACTTTTTTCCCTCTGCAGAATTCCTTGGAAAAGCCTTTCCTCCACACCTCATCTGCATGAACCCAAAAATCCGGAGTGGACAGAGATTGACTCTCCCTGTCCCCTCAAGCTTTGCACTTTGACCCCACCGACGGTCAGGCTTTGTATGTTGAGTCTGGGTATGTGCCCCTACATGGCTGGAGAAACTGTAATCAAAAGGTGATACTCATGCAGCATAGTGAAGGGTAGCATAGTGAAAGGCAGTATAGTGAACAGCAACGTAGTGAAGGGCAGCATAGTGAAGGGCAACATAGCATGATCCATCAGATCTTTCCCATGTTGCATGGACACAGCCAATTAGCTGTTTGTAATACAGCATGCTAGCTGAATCATTCTCAAATCTGAGACACTGAGCAATGACCACAAATTAGCAATACATTATAGATATTATAATACAACAGGCATCTGACAGTCATTTAAGTGCTATTGTAACTCCATCTAGCTCAGCCAAAGCCTGAGATTTAGCTAGAAATCACTCTTGCTACAAAGACAGCCTAAGGTCTCACAGCAGAAATACAAAGGGGTTTCATTCTGTGGGGCGCAGTCTGGGCCCCGAGGGTACAGTCACCGCTGGGGAGGAAGCCTTCAATCAACCTGTGTCCTACAGCCACTCCTGCAAGAGCCATATGGACCAATCCAGGATCCCTGACCTAACATTACAGCCCCTATTTTTATGATCCTTGGACCTTGTCCAGTTGGCTCTCATCAACATGAACTCAGCAGCATCAGCTGTGGGAAGCCACCTAACTCCAGCCAAACAGAACTGTGTGTGTAAACATGCCAGAGGCTCCCATGTGCATCGTATCATGTGATCTATCAGGGGATCTGTGGGAAGCCACCTAACTCTGGCCAAATACAGGGTGTCCATAAAGTCTCTTTACAATTTCAAAAAATTATTACAAAGGCAAATGAAAAGACAGATATGTGGAAATTATTACAAAATGAGACATATATATATATTTAAGTTTTCTTTGCCTCATTTAATACACCTCTATATGGGCACCATTAGTTGCACGAAGCACATCAAGACGGTACTCGATTCCTTGCCATGTTCGCTGTAGCATACCCTCATCAATGGTGACAATGGCATCAGTGATCCTCTGCATTAGATTAGTGATGTCGCCATGTTCGCTGTAACATACCCTCATCAATGGTGGCAATGGCATCAGTGATCCTCTGCTTTAGATTAGTGATGTCCCATACCTTCGTTTTCAATGTGATTAAAAATTTTGATAACCACTGAGTACATATAACAAATCTGATGAAGATATCTCATCAATTGCCTTTGTAATACATTTTTGAAACTGTAAAGAGACTTTATAGACACCCTGTAGAACTGTGTGTGTAAACATGCCAGAGGATCCCATGTGCATCGTATCATATGATGACTACGTAGCCTTTGCAGGCTGTGTCAATTCAAAAATCAGAGCAATAAATCTTGGAATATGTTGGGCTGGAAAGGATCCATCGTGTAGGTTCTTTGTGACTCTGCAAAAGATGGACACATTTCTTGACCACATTAGAATGAGACTTTGAAACGGGACGGCCTTATCACACTGCTGTGACGCATTAAGTCTTCTAATGCAGCCTTAGAAGGATGAAGCCCCTGAATTGGGGCACAGCCACTGTATAAACATACCAGAGGCTCCTTTGTGCATCATGTCACATGATCGATCATGTGATCTGTGGAAAGCCACCTAACTCTGGCCAAATGAGACTGCGACTGAGTATGAAAACATGCCACAGGCCCCCATATGCATCGTGTCACTCGATCTTTCATCCCTTAACATGACAAACAGCCTTTTAAAATCTCCCGTCTGCCACACTGAAATTCCTCAGGTTTTAAAAAACCCAACAATGCACTCCTCCTCTAAAACTGTAGCAAACTGTTTGTTTATATTAGATAATCAGAACCCTTGAAAAGACCGTTATCTTTAGCTGTTTAATACTCCTTTAATGCTATCTTTCTCAGAGAGATTAGAATCTTGCAGAGCTGTCAGGAGATTAACCAAACAAGCAAGCGGCAACGGCACTGCTGACTTACCTGTGTCTTGCCTGAACTGGTGCATGGAGTGGAGGTCTATGATGTAAGGCGAGAGGCGGGTGTCCACTTGGCCCAAGACGACGCTGCCGGTGCGAGGGTCGCTCCGCATCACCGCCTCGATGTGGTGGCACACGGCGGGGCTGTAGGGTCGCCAGCGGCCGTGTTCGTTTAGCCATTCCCACACCACCACTGCGGAGGCCAACAGCATTTTCCCGCTGCCGACATACAACTGTTTGTTACTTATGATTTATGCTCAGCCCGGTTAGACAAACCTTTCCATTTTGCAGCATGCAATAGGGCACAACTACACAAAAAATGCAAATACAGCAAATATTATAACAGCATAAGCAGGGCGCTAAACCGAGCACTACGCAAAACGATTGCGTACGCTTTAAACTGCAATATGAAAGTGGAGGAATGCAGCACACACTGGTTACCAGAAGAAACAATAATGGAAAACGACTGTGGTGTTGGGAAATATATGGTAGTGTGTTTTAGATGTTATTCTTTACCATTTACGGCCTACAAAACTAATGGTAGGTGCTGTCGCGTGATGCACTGTCTCCGTCTATTGACTCCTCGTTAAAAAATAGACGAATGCATAAAGGTGCATTTTGAGGGGAGCATCTTTGTATTACATTGTATTGTACGACTGACATGTCGGCCGTTGTAAAAAGAAAACACCGTAATTGTGACACTCATAGCAAAGACGTTCGCAACCACTACCCAGATTTCGTCACAACCTTCAGGGATCAGTGACAGAAACGGGTTTAACTGGTTAGGCGAAATATCACGGCTGCGTAAATCCGGCGAAATAATGACAGGGGCTGGAAAGGCAGCGGCCACCCGCATCCATCATCCGTGCTTTTGGTTACATTCTTGCAGACAATGCGGAATTATAAGTCCTTATCTACATCTCGGATTCCCACCACTATCTATCGCATCATTTGCCACTTCCCGTGTAAAGCGACTTTAACGCAGGCCACGGTCTGAATTTGCAATATAACGATACATACATATGTCAAATATCTCTTAATCGTTATTTACAAGAAAAAATGCAATGTTTCTTTTTATTTCCCACACCGGGATCGGACGACAGTAGAGTGACAGACAAAACTTGTACAAATATCGATGAAATAGCATATCTAATGGATATGATTAATTTCCACTGCTTTAAAAAATTATGTCTCTGGCACCTTTATATTCACTGGTCGTTCGAAACACAGCAGCGAATGTGGGATTCGGGTTAACCCTTAAAAAGAAACAGGGACACATATGCATCTTATTCAGTGCTCTTTTGCTTCCAAACGGCCGTATAACGTTAATTTTATTCTGAGAAAATCCCCGCAAATATGCAAAGGCGGATACACAATGTCTAATCGTCTATAAAGACAATTAAGTATATTCACCAGTTGCTCTGGGTCTTCGTTGTCAAAACGGATTGCAGCGTCTGCGATCAAAGCCGAAACTGCGGGTGCAATTACTCTGTAATATTTTCTGTTTGTCCGTCTTGCTGCCCCATGGGGATCCGTTGCACTTTCACAACCAACTAAGGCGTCGAATGAAAAAAAATCACGACAAAAGAGAAAATATTTAAGTAGAGGTATTCATTTCTGTGGCGTATTTTCGCATGGAAAACGAATCGGTTTCCTTCGTGACTTCATCAAAATGGCACCAGGAGCCGCCGAAAAAAGCACCGTTTTTCGGTACATAGCTGGCGTCATGCCTTGACGGTTTGACTTGTTTAATCTCTTATTCGAAGTTCATTATCGACAGCCCTTTAATCGCTGCACACTAGGCGCGTCGTTGGGAGAAAAGCCAGAGCTGTGAGGGTAGGCGTAAGTCTGTGGCGGCTCTGCCCACAGACATGCTTTACACACACAATTTAGACCCCTGTAACCCAGACCCCAGTACCGCTGACTGTGGCAGTACATTTCTGAAGGTTCTGCCCACACACACACCTTAGCCACGCAATTCAGACCTAGACCACAGTGTTACGGTTTGCGACGAACACAGTCTCAGAGCTGAGTTAAGACCATGAATTTTTGCATAGAACACTCGTGCGTTATTGAAACATTTCATCCATCCAAGCTTCTGCCATACCGCTCATCCATTACAGAACCTGGAGTCCATTCCATGAGGCACTATGAATGGGATTCCAGTCCACACACTCTGGGCAATGTAGAAACGCCAGATTCCTTAACCATATTTTTTGGACTGTGTTAGGAAACCAGAGTAGAAGACACCCAGTATTGGGTAAATGGTTGGATGATGGGCTGGATGGATGGATGGATGGAAATTTTACAAATTCTGTATGATGGTAAATCTTCAATCTATTTCGTGAAGATCTTTCATTGAGTGTAGAATAAATAAATTGGATTCATGTGCGAACGTACTTCATGAGCGAATGAACTACACTTCTGTCTCACTGGCTGGAGTAGTCCTCTGATCATAGGTTATTAACAGCCGAACTTGAGATGCGTGTTAGTCTTTGTGGTAGAGTGATACTGCCATCTAGTGGTTACTTTAGATTTCAGTACACGGAACATCGATTAGATTTTTAAAGTTTCATCCCATCTTTCATAATTGCCTATCCAGTAAGCTTTCGGGATGAGCCAGTTCCAGCAAGCATAGCGTATGAAACGGTGGGGGGCGGGGGTTGCACGGTATGGGATTCCTGTACAACACCGTGTGTACAAATAGCCGCATCCTATTAATTTATACAGACCAAAATCGGCTTTTTTTAATCTCACAAATGTTTAGTTCCAGAGATCTGGCTTCGTAAACCTTGGCTGCGGATGGTCTGGTATGGTTCCGATTTGTGGTTCGGGGTTTTTCCTTCTCTCATGGTTATTTTCAGGGAATAGCAGGTGATTTTCACGGCGCCCGGTCCCACGTGGCCTATTCCTCATCTTCTAAATATCAGTTGTGCGCACACGTTTTCAGATTTCCCTTGAGACGTTTTATGTTTAAGACAGTAAACTGAAAAGTGCTTCCTCACGTGTTTTCCCCCCGTAGGTTCTTTTGGATTCCCAGTGAAATTAGCTACCTAATAACAGAAAGCAATACTGGAAACTTGGAGAAAACTCTGCTGACGTTTCGCCAGCGATGTGTTTGACGTGGTCCTGTTAGAGTGGCATTAAAGCCGCTAAACCGAAGGGCCACGCCAATACTTCTCTGAAATCAAAGCAGCCAAGCTCCCAGACCTTTTTCTAGCAGCTTGAGGACACGCGTAGTCTCTGTATTTCAGCCCAACTGCTAGCCTTTAACAAAGCTTATATATTTTATTGCGCTTATACAGTATAATTAAAATAATCAATAAAAAGACACCCAGCTTGAGGCTCGAATCCGCGGTTCTGATGTGGTACCGAAATAATTAACTACTACTGGAAAGGTAGGTTAGTGCCTAATTTCTACTTATTCATTATGTGACGACCTTGAGTATGGGTTGTGGATTGGTCATCAAGTGTTGGCAGTTTTCATTGTCATGACTCTGAGCCAGTTGCACCTGATGCGTGTTAAGGCTGTAGCTTTTGTTCCCTTTTAAAATGGCTAGGTTTTGGGGAAAATGGGGCTCGTGCTTAGGCGCCTGCTGCACGTCGCCATTTGTTTTGCTTTTGTTTTGTATTTGATTTTCGTTTTCCGTATTTAGTTTACACTACATGAACATTGCATACCTGCACTATACTGACAACCATGTGTTATATATGTTGTGTAGCATTCTTTTTTTTTCTTTTATTCTTATTAAATTCTTTAATTATCTAGTAAGCTTGGGTCCCGTGTCTTCTCTTGGATTTTCTTTTTTTCCCCTTTTTGTTACGGTTTTGAGCCAGCAACAATTATGTATTTGTGTAATATATACACACTATGGAAAAAAGTATTGGGACATCCGTAGTAATCACAGGAAATGTCCACATAAACCAATAGAGGCCCTAATACTTTTGTCCTTATCATGTAACTATAGGTCTACGATTTTATTGTCTAAATTGAAACAAAGTGCTGCCTCTGCTGCGTTTTCAGCGACCATTGTTATCACATTACTATTGTTGTCATAATTTAAAGAGAAAACTTTTCTCATAGATTTGAATTTTTACAATAACCAGAATCTGTTTTCACATTTGGGTCAATGTTGAACGTTAAACAATAATACAACATATGCAATAATATAAACGATAATAAAACAATATCAAAGTGGAGAACTTGGCATGTCAGAAAATGAGCTAAATATATGGAATTGGGCAGCAAGTTGTCCAGTGAAATGGCTGGATGTCATATTGCAGAAGAGCTCCTTCATATCCCTGAGACTTAACTGTCCAAGTATAAACATGGAAACATAACTGTGGCTGTTAGCTGTGCAGTGTGGTGCCAGCGGTGTAGGTGCAGTGATAGCCCTCACCCCCACCTCACACTGACTGGTATCCATCCTTCTATTCTTCTGTCTGTCCATCTGTTTTCTGTACCTGCTTGTCCTACTTAGAGTAGCAGGGGTCTGGAGCCCATCCTGGGAGCTACAGGCACAAAGCAGGGAACAACCCAGCATGGGACACCACCTCATGGCAGGGCACTGACACACCAGTCACACACACACACATTTATGGGCAATTTGGTAACTCCAGCCTCAGCATGTTTTTGGAGTGGGGGGGGGGAATCAGAGTATCCTGAGCAAGCCCCACAATAACACAGGAATGTTTTGCTTCCATGCTTCATTCTCGCCAGTGCGGGGAAGGAATAAAAAAGGCCAATAGGATGTTGGGGTATATCTCCAGGTGTGTGGAGTTTAAGTCAAGGGAGGTAATGCTAAGATTATACAATTCCTCCTCCTCCTCGTCTAGGGACCTCACCTAGAATATTGTGTGCAGGTTTGGTCACCATATCTTAAAAAGGACATTGCGGTCTTAGAAAAGGTGCAGCATAGGGCCACAAGAATGATTCCTGGTCTTAGAGGAATGTCATACGAGGAAAGGTTAGTTGAGCTAAATCTGTTCAGCCTCAAGCAAAGGAGACTGAGGGGGAACATGATCCAGGTCTATAAGATTCTAACAGGTTTGGATGCTGTTCAACCGAATAGTTACTTCAGCATTAGTTCAAATACAAGAACTCGTGGCCATAGGTGGAAATTAGCGGGAGAACATTTCAAACTGGATTTAAGGAAGCACTTCTTTACACAGCGTGTAGTCAGAGTATGGAATAGTCTTCCTGATAATGTAGTGCAAGCTGAATCCTTGGGTTCCTTTAAATCAGAGCTAGATAAGATTTTAACAACTCTGAGCTATTAGTTAAGTTCTCCCCAAGCAAGCTCGATGGGCCGAATGGCCTCCTCTCGTTTGTATAGTTCTTATGTTCTTAACACACAAACTCCACACACACACAGTCATGGCAGAGACTCAAACCCTGGTCCTAGAGGTGTGAGGTAACAGTGCTAACCACTGCACCACCACACTGGCCTTTGAAACTTATACCATTTTGTTTCTTGCCCTGCTTGGGTCCAGGGTGAGGCAGTGCGGCCAAAATATCCAGTCACATAAAAATCACACCAGCATTAATACAACAGTTTCCCTTTTGTTTCTGAAATGCTCCGTCACATTAAGAATGTCAATAATCAATTTATTTATATAGAACATTTAAAACAACCGCAGAAGTGCTGTAACCAAAGTGCTATACATAAAACAATCATAAAAAATAAAATTACTAGCAATAAGTAATCAAATAAGTGTAAAACAAAATGCAGCTAATGATGCTGACGTAAATACAAAATAAAAGAAAAAAACATCAATATCAGCAATCACAAAAAGCAAGAGAATAAAAATATGTCTTTAATCTAGACTTAAATCGGTAAATTGAAGGAGACTCCTTAATAAGCTGGAGTAAGGAGTTCCACAATCGTGGTGCAACAGCTGCAAAAGCCCTGTCTTCCCTTGTTTTACATTTGGTATGGGGTACAATAAGAGACAACTGACCAGAAGATCTTAGATGTCTGGATGACTGGTACAGAACACACAAAATCAGACAAATGTTACAAAACCACAAGAATAGCCAGAGACTCTACATATTAATGCTGAGACAATGAAAGTAACTGTAACAGTGGGTTTACACCCTGGGTAACACTGACTTCCCTCAGACTGGCTTTGTCTCTAGAACCTGTGGCTGCATATCACAGTATGTACCAGCAGGTGACTGATTAGGTATCCAACAGCACCAATTATTGTAGGAATGATTTTTATAAAAGAAAGCACTGGAAAGGAAAGTTTAACAACACCCCCTTTTTGGTTTGAAGAGGACTGACAAGGCTTTGGCACACTGGTGGCCTGCTCCCAAAGGGCCTGTTTCATCATCCAGCAGCGCATTATTTATGGGGGGGGGCACAGGGGCACCGCCCACCCTCCAAGTATCTCGAGAAAAACGTACATTTAAAACTGCTAAATTACTTAGATAACACTAATTAATAATGAAATTGAATTTCTTTAGGTGAGAATAAGAAAGTTGGGCCATCAGGCTCGCTTGGAGAGTGGCTGGGTAATCTCTCAGCTTTCATTAAAAACCGGTTCCAGTTTGTATTTGGCCAATTTCTGTATGAATAACCATACGAAGGGCAAAGGAAGGGCTTCAGCTTCTGGTGAGCAGGTCACCTGAGGCTGCTCTGTGTTTGCTGTGTTCAGATTTCAGTGTGGGGTGTCACTCCTGCTCATGGGTGTGGTTTTAGGTTGGGGGGTGCCCAAACTTTCTTACAATGTGAGCTATCATTCCAAGGCTGAGGGCCGCGCTTGTCTTCAGTGTCTCCGCTCTCGCAGACGGAGGCTCTCAGCTGCTCCTCTTCTCCATTCTCCTGCACAGGCTGACTAGGTGCCAGGGACGCCATCTCTCTCAGAGACTCAGAGTCCTCCGCTATGTTGCGCTGTGAGACTGGCTGCATCTGGGGACGGCGGAAGCATCTCTTCACCCCCTCCACCTTGACCCCCAGAACCCCCAGAACCCCCAGAACCCCCAGCAGCACCCCCAGCAGCACCCCTGGCCATGTGATTCCTGTGAAAGTAACACAATTCTTCCTTGAAACACAAATCACTTTTGACCAAAACAACAATGAAATCAGAAACAAAGCACCCACGCACCATTATATATATCACAAATTTGCTATTTTGCTTGTTTTTTTTTTGCTTTTTTTTATACTGTTTCTGCTTGTTTACAATACTTTGGAGCCTATTTGCACCAACCCTTCAAAGAGAAACACAGAAAATGAAAAACCTGCAGTAGCTGGAGGGTCTGTAAGGACAGTGACAGAGATGTTCTTGTTGGTCTTGTGGTCTATGACTCTGTACACACCATTGTCAAGGGGCGTGACTGAGTCCAGTTTGAGAGCTGTGTTCTGGATGGACACTCTGTGCTGGTATTGAGGCACACAGTCTGCTGACTCTCCCTTCACTGTGCACACAGGTACAGTGGACGAGTTTTCATTGGGCTGGAACACAACCCTCACTGGTTCTGAGCTGTAGAGCTGCAGCCAGAGGGACTGACCACTTTGGAGGGAGGTGCTGTTGTAGTGGGCTGAAGGGGAGAAGAAACGTGTCAGCTTAGCAGGAATTACACCCGTGGACGAACACGGGACTGTCACCCAAATTACTCCAAATATCAGGCAGCGGTACAAAGAAAGACACTATGATTCACGTTAAAGCAGCCAAGGCAGTCTACACTGTCAAATAGCCAGTGAGCCTGTACGCGAGGTCAGGTAGAATGCACATAATTTACAGCTACACTCTAACTCTTTAGTAAACAAACCAGTTACGTAACCTATCAATCTGAGCAAATTTCTCTGAAGCTTACAGGGCTTGTTTCTCTCTGGCTTTCGTTTATCTATTCCATTGAATATAAACAAAGTATTAGAGTGTACTCTACCTTCAATAATGAGGTTGATTATATCAGGCTTTACAGTTTTCTCTGTGCTGAAGCATTGATAGGTTCCTTGATCTGAATAACGCACTTTAGAGATTGTCAGAGACAGGTCACCAAATCTAACCTTGTCTACTGACATGCTATATCTGTTCTCAAATCCAGAGCTTTTATTGGATGACCCAGACTGAAGGAGTAGGACAGTCTGTCCATCTTTCTCCCAGTGAACAGTATCAGTGTTGCTCCTTTGCGTTTTATCCACCGGGACATAACAAGGGAGAGTGGCAGGTTCCCCAAGCCGTGCAGATACATCTGTGGGCACTGTGAGAGACACAAAGAGAGACAGAAGTGGCTGAGCAGAGACACTGGCAGCCAGACAGGATAGCAAAAGGCTGCTTTTCTCCAAACCACATTTCTGACTGCAGCATGAGACCTGTGCAAACAGGAGATGTGCTTAGACATCAAACATCAGCCTCACCCCTCACTTCAGTAATTTTTAGGAAAATGTATCCCAGTGATAAAGACACAAACTTACCAAAAACCTCTAGTTTGACGTCACCAAGATGTTCTCCCCTCGAGAAGCACATATAAAGATCTCCATCACTGTATTCCACTGGGCTGATTTTGAGGGAGAAGTTTCCAAACCTGATGTCATCCTCGGAGATGTTGACTCTGTCCTTGAACAAATCTCCCACTGTGAGCTCCCCCTGCTGGTAGTGTGCGACCAGGATGTTTTTCGCAGTCACCCATTTGACGTCATGCTCCTGGGGAGGAGTGTCCTTGCTTACAGCCCCACTACATGGTAGGGTAACAGTGCCTTTCACACTGCCTTTTACAGGAGTAAATGCTGAGTTGCTGCTCACTATAGGGAGGACAGACAGAGATATTCGAGTTCAGATCAGACTGAACATCTGGCAATTTAACATCCTGAATGGTTACAAATACTATTGGTAACTGTAGTTTCAGTATTTTGTTTTACTGCATTTTATTTTCCCCATGGTCTTATACTATTGAATAGGGCTGCATGATATTGAAGAAAATACCACAATATTTTTAAGTTTTGCAATTAATATTGATATTTATATATATAAAAAGATCCAATTTACCCAAAACAAACTATAGCCAAATAGAACTTATTTACCCATAGTGTATCAAATAAGTTGGTGGTGTTGCCACAAGCCGGGTCAACAGACACAAAGCAGTGCCAACTAACATTTGCTTTTGCTCAAAATTGTCTCTGGAATAAAAAATACACACTGCTAATGTTTGAGGGAGTTCATTTGGCAATACTGTCATGGTCCTTCAGAGCAGAAGGCAAAAGCCTTTTGGTGAGCAGTTCATGTTTGCTTTTCAACTCCTCACTCATTTTTGTTAAATATATCACTAATGTGCCACACTGTCTATGAGTGAATGCGACAGCAAGGACAAAAATGATCATGATTGGCTGTAAGAGTGCATGCAGAGCTCATGCAGAAGGAGCAGCAGTAAAGGTTAAACTGATTTTTTTTAAAACATATACTTCATTACCCTAAAGCAATTGCTAAACTTGCAAGTCTGGCTAAGATTTGTTCGTTTTGAATGATAGAATGGAAATTCTGTAGTATAACTTACTGTCTTAACCCAGCTGACTAACGTAATCGTTGCGATGTGAAAATTGCAAGTGTCAATATTAATATTGCACATTGCGCAACTATAACAAGAATGATTGTGATTGGTCATTTGCTGTGTATGCAAAGGCTGCATGTCCCTCGCTAGCAACAAACTACATGTAACCAAGAACCCTTAAATCGGAGTAAATTATATCAGTTTTCTCTTGTAGATCAGTCATGGAAAATGAGAAACGTGTGAGTTTTCCTTTTGTATCAAGCAGCTAAAAAAGCTGTAGCATGACATGCTTGGTTTAATTAGCCTGACTTTGCATGTCCTTCGATGTGATTACTGACGATGCACACATTGCAATGATGATACTGAAACGATTTATCATGCAGCCCTACTTATTATTTAATTGTTTTTAAATTCATTTTAACTTATATTTCTTAAAATGAACAGAACTAAGAGAATCCTGGGATTCAATTAATCAGAGCACCTGTAATGGTGACCACCCTTACAAAAAGGGATGGGCCGATCCACATTTTTTCAGTTCCAATCCGATTCCGATACACAACTGCCGATACCGATTCCAATACAAGAGCTCTTTTTACTTTGTTATACTTTATATATTATTTTTTTAAGCTAGTAAATAAAGATGGAAAAAATGTATGACAAAAAATATTTAATTAGGCTACTACAAACAACGTACTGTTCCACCTCGCTTGTATGTCTTGTTTTAAGCATTTTTGAGGCATTTGCAGTTCAATATGAATATCTTCAAAGCAAGTATACACAAGTGGCGAATGGTTAAAGTTTTAACACAATTTTTCTCCCATTGGCGTCAGCTCAGTTACACTTTGTTGCGCTAGCAGCCCCTCTTGTATCACAAGCTGCAGCGAGTTCGCAAAATAGTCCAAGTTAGCGACTCCCAAATCATCTATCCCATGACGACATGGGGAGAACATGCAAACTCAACACACATGGAACCCAGACGGAGACTTGAACCCAGGTTCCAGAGGTGTGAGGCAACAGTGCTAACCACTGCACCACCATGCCTCCCCACTCCCAAATCATCCATTGCTTTTTTGTCTCGCACAGTTTATTAAGTGGGATTGTTCATTAAACGCTATTCCCACCTCTCAAAACTTCTCACGTCTTATCTTACGGTCCTCGTACTGCGAAGGGTATGCGCATGACGTCACAGCAGGCGGAAGTCACTGTACTCACACCCACTGAGTAGCAAAAAAGACTGAGGGGCAGCGATAGTGTTCGATTTGAATGCCGCAAAACAACATGTAAAATGGGAAAGAGCTGTTGTGCGATTGATTGTACAAATAGCTCCTATTTCTGTTAAATCTATCTATTTAGAGATTGCCAAAAACTAAATAAGTAAGTATAGGACGTGGATCGGTCACACATAGCCGATACCCGATCCGTCAAATAGGTTTTACACTATTCAAAAAACTTAAGAAAAAAAGTAATAATAATAATAATTTAACCTTTATTGTCCCTCATGGGGAAATTCTTTTTACGCCTCCATCAACTTGCTCTTTGTAGAACAAGCTGTCTGCGAATAAGTTCATGGTGTCATTGCAGACACACAGTCAGTACTCACCATGCAGGATAAGGTGGAGGAACGGGATAAGCAGTTTCCAACGCCCCATCAGGACAGCCAGGTAATTGAGTCGTTGGCTCAAATACAGCTAAGGAGAAAGAGATGCAACAGATAAATGTGATGCTTCACATGCAAACGATGAAGAGCTATGGATATGTGGGGACACCGAGGCACTGAGGCCTGTTCTTGGGTCAGTCACCTAAGATATCTGGGATAGGGTGGCTCATTCGCTCCAGCTGTGCTGCTACACATCACAGATGCCCTGTGAGACGGTGCTGCACAGTGTGTGTGTGTGTGTGTGTGTGTGTGTGTGTTCAGTAGCTACACATCAGACACCCTGGTGATGTGTGCTGAGATGGTGAGCGTCATGATGGCCGAAAGCTAAGCTGAACAGAACAGAACTCCCTCTTTCTGTACAATGCAACTGTAAAATCAACCAATAAACTCTCTTCTAAAGAAAGAGAACACCCCATGCTACAGTATATTCACCTGAATATTTCTGAAGCAGTTATCAGCCATGGTTTCTAGACACTTTGGGGCCGAATTTAGAGAGGTGGGGGCCCCTAGGCTGAAGTCATTCTTGGGGCCCTGCCTACAGCATAAAATACTGCAGTGATAAAAAAAAATGCTCCTCAGGGCCTTGGGATACACCCCTGTGATGTAATCTCCACCAGCTGAGCTGTGTCCTGACCAAAGTTCACACTGCGTATGTGCATCATTTTCATAAAAAAATGTATCACAGTAAACAGTCACATATCAGTTAAACTCCAACCTTTCAGATGAAGCCTCGAATACAGGCAAACAGGCACATTTTGAAATGTAAATGAGAAATTAAATAATAATATTATATTTTATGAAAATGAGGGGGGCGGTATGTGACTCCGCAGGCTAAGTCTCTGCCTGTGATCAGAAGGTCAGCAGTCCGCTCCCTGTTTCCAGCAGAACAGTCACATGTCTGTGGGCCCGTGAGCAAGGCCCCTAACCCCCAGCTCCAGGAGTGCTGCACACTGACCCTGCGCTATGACCCCCCTAAGCCTGCTGTCATCTTGTCTGTGTGTCTCATGGAGAGCTGGGGTCAGTACAAATACAATAATGGGGATGTGGGATGTATCTTCAAGGTATCTGCCAGAGAATGCATCCCCTGTGAAATCTGACTGTATTGATGTCATGACAGTCTGAAATACAAACGATAAAAAGCAGCTGATGATGGCAACAGAAATGCAAAAATAAGGGGAGTGCAATATGTTTGCCACACATATAACGAGACCCACAGGGTATTTCCTGGCACATAATGAGGCAGAGGAGGTACCACCCTGATCATATATTAATGAAATATATCAAAAATAAAAATTGAAGATGACGATTATCAAATCAAAGCATATTATAGCAATGGCGGGCCACATGTTCCAACATGCCCGGCGTGCAAGTTGTAAACAGCCCTTGTTGTGTTGTTATTAATGTTAATTGTTACATTTCCTTATTGTTGCGCGTGTGTTTACCCGTGTCTTGTGTGTATTTAGCTTACGTAAACCCCCACCGTGTATGCATTTTACAGTTCGGCGTCTGACAACCTTGTGTTTCCAGTGTATAATTGGTTCGGTGCTCATTGGGTGCCTGATGTAGTCCTTTTCAGGACTGCGAATAAAAAGCGTGTTCTGCCTGGCAAACGAGTGTCCGTGTCTCTATCTGCTCCAGCGATGCCTCGGTCCGCCCGACGCCGTAATATTTTGTGTTTAGAAAGTACCATGTGCAACAATAAATGCAACATAAAACCAATGCGCTAATTTACACATAAACGGAAAAGCTTTTTAAAAATTAGCATGTCATTATTTTCATTTACAGTATATGTAAATGAGCACTCTTGCAGTATAGTTGAACATAAACATACACAACAAGCACGATGCTGCCCTAACAGGGTAGTTGATTATCGCATTAAAGCCACTGTCCATCTAAACAGTTCACAGCCTGAATTCCTTCACGTTAACTCGTCCCTTGCACAAACTGACTGCATCTCGTCAGTAGCAAGAATTATTACTTTTTAATTACCTATCGGGTGAAGTCTACACTGATTCACTTGCCTTCACGATTCTCCTCCTCGCGACATCGATCAGTAAAGTAATCGCAGTTACTACGAGCTCCATCCGCAAAGTTGAAAACACACTGATATGTAATGTTACTTTAGGAAACCTTTTTAAAAAACTAGACGTGCTTGGATACAAAATATATTCTATACTCACCAGTTCGAAACGCCCCCAAAATATCAGCCCGCAGCAAAAACAAACACCACTCTGTTTCCACTTTCGAGTTTCGAGCACTTTCTGTCACTTCCGTTTGCGGATTTCCTTGCGCACTGTGCTCATTATCATACTGCATACCCTATTGGTCATGACTGAATACCCTCCAGAGTTTTGTGGATAGCTGGAGGCGGCCTCATAATTCGAATGTTTGTTTTTAACACAATATTATGTCGTATGACATATTTCATATATATTATGAGTTTACATAAACAGATACGGTCATTTTCACACTTCCTTTTGTAGCCGGTGGGTTGCACACAGGCATAGGAAAGGCAGCTAGGGGTCCTGATATGTGGGTATGCTCACGGCGTGGGACAGCCCCAAGAGGGAGAAGGGTCCAGCTGCAGACGCCTGTAGAGTGGAGCTCCACCGGAAATACGTCACCTTCACAGGAAACACGTGGTCTCAACTCTGTGTCACAGCGAATAAACTTTAACCTTAACACCCTATCAGGGTTACCTGAAAATAAAGGGAAAAACAGGAAAAAGGGAAAAGTTTTGAATGTTGTCATTGCACAATTAATATCTATGATATACCTTTGATCTTTCTTAACTACAAAACCTACCCCTAACCCTAACCGGAGCTCCACTTTACGTCCAAGATCACGTGTTTCCTGTGGAGATGACGAATTTCCGGTGGAGCTCCACTCTACAGGCGTCTGCAGCTGGACCCTTCTCGACGGTGGGACATTGGCGGAGATGTTGAATTGTATTACGATCTACGAACAACAGATGGAGACGGCGTGACTAGAAATAGTGCTGTTTAGTGTGAGCGGCTGGCTAACTTTCTTTTTCTTTTTCTTTGTTTGTGTTCATTTTTGTTGTATGTAGATTACTTGGTTATTTATTAGGCAGCCTGCATCATCTTTCACACATTGTCCGGGTGTTAGATTGCCCATGAGCCTTCCAGTTGCTGTGATTTGTTGTGTAATTCACTAGTGTAATCCGTGCTGTATTTTACTCTGATGTCTTTATGCTCATGAACAAATTGTGGGCAGTATATTCACTCGTTGGTTATGATGCAGTCTAATTTTGTTTAGCATATACGTTTATGCCCATTGAGCAGCCCCATGGTCTGTGGATTTGATTATTTAATAAACCTTATGTACTTTTCCATTTGTGATTTAAACGTATTGTTTTGGGGACGCTTCCCTTAGGCTGTGACGGAATAAGGGCGGCGTAGCCATAACTTTAATTATTATTTAAACTTTTTCAATGCAGAACAATAATAAAACAAAATGCACAATATTAAATATCCTAAAGTAATTGGGTAGCAAACATGGTAGAGGGTACTATATACAAATCTATGCAAATATTGTGGATAAATCACTTTTTACAGTTTTTTCAGCTTTTTATTTAGAGAGAGTTTAATTGAATTTATATAATGTTTCAATTCTAGACCACACAAACAACTGAACACTATATGCTGGAAACGAAGACATTCACAAGATAACTCCACTACATTGCAATAATATGGCATGAAATAAATAAACTTGTAACTATATAATTCAGTAATACAAATAATAAACCTTAACATACCGTTCACACTGGCCTCAAGAACTAAGTTAGCACTTGATTCCCCTGCACTTCCTGTTGTGGCTGAGCGTGCAGATGGCTGAGAGTGCACGTTCTGAGCGGCTGCAGCCAGACGCTTCTCAAAATACCAGTGGCCTCTAATAGCCATTATGTGTTTTAATTTGAACAAACAGAAAACACCACAATAAACCAGAGTAACCTCCAATGTCCTCTCCAAATGAGGGATGGACTGGCCATGCGGTCAGGGATGCAACTGTAAGACATTACTTCTGACTGATGAATTGAGTAATAGTATTTATTGTCATTTTCATTCAAATACAATGGATAGTAGAGCTTTTTGTTTTGAGCTTTGAGATTTTGCTTGAGTACAGATATCTCACAGGGAAAGGCTTCATGTCTTATTTCCTACTTTATTTTCACTGCCACTGAACCAGTTCAACAACTGCACAAAATATAAATAAATGTATATATCATCAGCAAACATTACTTTTGTGATCAATTTCCAAGTTGAATTTAATTTTGTGCCAGAATTTTTTATAATTTTACTGTACATTATTTTCATATGCTTAAATTTTTTTATGCGCATTTCGTGAAGCGACGTGTTGTATCATGTATGGCGATGAATTTCTTTGTTTGTACTGTAAACAAACAATATGCAGTTGCCACTATGTATGAATGGAGAATATAACACTTAAATAGGAGTTACTTAATAATGTATGTTATTAATGAAGTACTGTAATTTTATGTATTGATATGTGACAGTTAAAAACCATGACAAACATGTTTATCAATCACTGAAAGGTACCGCTGTAACAGAAACGTTCTCTCTCTATTTTTTTCTTTTTTCAGATATTCGACCGCTGAAGAGATATAGTAAAGACCTACAACTACATCAAGTTTTTTATACATTCCACAACCGTTCTTGGGCATAACGTACACTTCTTCGTGTTTCGGGTGGTTCTTTGGGGCGCTTTCAATGGACCCTTTTGGGGGATGTTTTTGTGTTCACAGCCTGAAATACGGTTCGCAAACCGGTACAAAGAATTTTTGAACATCTGGTTCGTAACCCGATTTGTTCATGAACATGGCTGTTCGTGGGTCGAGGTACCACTGTATATCTGTCTACAGGTGTATATTTAATGGCTTGGCCCAGCTGATGCTTCTACAGTTGCTACATGCCACAAATGATTTGTGCGCTATTAGGGTCAACATTTTACTGATGACAGAGCACCTGAGAGACTGAACTAAAGCCCTGACCCCAGCACCAGCCTGTCTCCCCCTCTGGGGATCGAGAAGGTCAGTCCTGCCCAAAGCTGTGTGGCCACCAACCCAGTCAGACTAAGACTTACTTAGTTACTTTAGTTACTAAAAAATAAGACCTAAATATATGGAACTGGGCAGTAAGTGGTCCAGTGAAATGGCTGGATGCCATATTGCATTGTATCCCTGAGCCTTAACTGTCCAAGTATAAACATGGAAACACATACAACTTGGGCTGTTAGCTGTGCAGTGATAGCCCTAACCCCCACCTCACACTGACTGGTATCCATCCTTCCATTCTTCTGTCTGTCCATCTGTTTTCTGTACCTGCTTGTCCTACTTAGAGTAGCAGGGGTCTGGAACCCATCCTGGGAGCTACAGGCACAAGGCAGGGAACAACCCAGCATGGGACACCACCCCATGGCAGGGTACTGACACACCAGTCACTCACACACACTTATGGGCAATTTGGTAATTCCATTCAGCCTCAGCATGTTTTTGGAGTGGGGGGGGGGCAAATCAGAGTATCCTGAGCAAGCCCCACAATAACACAGGGAGAACACACAGTCCTGGCAGAGAGACTCAAACCCTGGTCCCAGAGGTGTGAGGTAACAGTGCTAACCACTGCACCACCACCCTGGCCTTTGAAACTTATACCATTTTGTTTCTTGCTCTGCTTGGGTCCAGGGTGATGCAGTGCAGCCAAAATATCCAGTCACAAAATCAGACCAGCATTAATACAAGTTTTCCTTTTATTTCTCAAATGCTACGTCACATTAAGAAAGTTACAAAACCACAGGAATGGCTGGAGACTCTCCATATTAATGCTGAGACAATGAAAGTGTGGCTGTAACAGTGGGTTTACACCCTGGGTAACACCGACTTCCATCAGACTGGCTTTGTCTCTGAAGAACCGGAGACTGTATATCACAGTATGTACCAAGGCACTGGCCCACTTCAGATCAAACTGGAAGCATTTCAGTGAAGGGCCTGATGTGGTCCACATATTTTGGCTTCTGGATGCATGAAGAAATCTGCTGGATTATCAGGCACTTGCAAGTCAAGCACTGGCAGGACTCCACTCCAGAGGCGGCGGGGGGGGGGGGGGGGGGGGGGGGCAGCTCTCACCACTGTGGTGCTCCTAGCCTGCGAATATCCCGAGTAAGCATATGTCAGCTGCCCATAACTCCCATTAAAACAAGGGCTCAGGCTCTTCATGGGGATTTAAATAATACACTACTTCTACTCTTAATACAAAATTTCACAGTATAAATAAGTAGCAATACCAATTATTGTTTATCCAGCAGTGCAACATTTATGTGGAGCACATGGGCGCCGCCCACCCTCCAAGTATCTCGAGCAAAACGTACACTTAAAACTCAAATTAATTAGATAACACTAATTAATAATGAAACTGAATTTCCTTAGCTGAGTATAAGAAAGTTGGGCCATGGAGCTCGCTTGGAGGGAATACTCGTATGATGGCTGGGTAATCTCTCAGCATTCATTAAAAACTGGTCCCATTTCTGTATGAATAACCATATGAAGGGCAAAAGAGAGCTTCAGCTTCTGGTAAGCAGGTCAGCTGAGGCTGCTCTCTGTTTGGTGTGTTCAGATTTCTCATGGGGAGTCAGTGTGGGGTGTCACTGCTCATGGGTGGGGTTTTAGGTTGAGGTGCCCAAACTTTCTCACAATGAGAGCTATCATTCCAGGGCAGAGGGCCGTGCTTGTCTTCAGTGTCTCCGCTCTCGCAGACGGGGGCTCTCAGCTGCTCCTCTTCTCCATTCTCCTGCACAGGCTGACTAGGTGCCAGGGACGCCATCTCTCTCAGAGACTCAGAGTCCTCCGCTATGTTGCGCTGTGAGACTGGCTGCATCTGGGGACGGCGGAAGCATCTCTTCACCCCCTCCACCTTGACCCCCAGAACCCCCAGAACCCCCAGAACCCCCAGCAGCACCCCCAGCAGCACCCCTGGCCATGTGATTCCTGTGAAAGTAACACAATTCTTCCTTGAAACACAAATCACTTTTGACCAAAACAACAATGAAATCAGAAACAAAGCACCCACGCACCATTATATATATCACAAATTTGCTATTTTGCTTGTTTTTTTTTTGCTTTTTTTTATACTGTTTCTGCTTGTTTACAATACTTTGGAGCCTATTTGCACCAAACCTTCAAAGAGAAACACAGAAAATGAAAAACCTGCAGTAGCTGGAGGGTCTGTATGAAGGACCTTGACAGAGATGTTCTTCTTGGTCTTGTGGTCTATGACTCTGTACACACCATTGTCAAGGGGCGTGACTGAGTCCAGTTTGAGAGCTGTGTTCTGGATGGACACTCTGTGCTGGTATTGAGGCACACAGTCTGCTGACTCTCCCTTCACTGTGCACACAGGTACAGTGGACGAGTTTTCATTGGGCTGGAACACAACCCTCACTGGTTCTGAGCTGTAGAGCTGCAGCCAGAGGGACTGACCACTTTGGAGGGAGGTGCTGTTGTAGTGGGCTGAAGGGGAGAAGAAACGTGTCAGCTTAGCAGGAATTACACCCGTGGACGAACACGGGACTGTCACCCAAATTACTCCAAATATCAGGCAGCGGTACAAAGAAAGACACTATGATTCACGTTAAAGCAGCCAAGGCAGTCTACACTGTCAAATAGCCAGTGAGCCTGTACGCGAGGTCAGGTAGAATGCACATAATTTACAGCTACACTCTAACTCTTTAGTAAACAAACCAGTTACGTAACCTATCAATCTGAGCAAATTTCTCTGAAGCTTACAGGGCTTGTTTCTCTCTGGCTTTCGTTTATCTATTCCATTGAATATAAACAAAGTATTAGAGTGTACTCTACCTTCAATAATGAGGTTGATTATATCAGGCTTTACAGTTTTCTCTGTGCTGAAGCATTGATAGGTTCCTTGATCTGAATAACGCACTTTAGAGATTGTCAGAGACAGGTCACCAAATCTAACCTTGTCTACTGACATGCTATATCTGTTCTCAAATCCAGAGCTTTTATTGGATGACCCAGACTGAAGGAGTAGGACAGTCTGTCCATCTTTCTCCCAGTGAACAGTATCAGTGTTGCTCCTTTGCGTTTTATCCACCGGGACATAACAAGGGAGAGTGGCAGGTTCCCCAAGCCGTGCAGATACATCTGTGGGCACTGTGAGAGACACAAAGAGAGACAGAAGTGGCTGAGCAGAGACACTGGCAGCCAGACAGGATAGCAAAAGGCTGCTTTTCTCCAAACCACATTTCTGACTGCAGCATGAGACCTGTGCAAACAGGAGATGTGCTTAGACATCAAACATCAGCCTCACCCCTCACTTCAGTAATTTTTAGGAAAATGTATCCCAGTGATAAAGACACAAACTTACCAAAAACCTCTAGTTTGACGTCACCAAGATGTTCTCCCCTCGAGAAGCACATATAAAGATCTCCATCACTGTATTCCACTGGGCTGATCCTGAGGGAGAAGTTTCCAAACCTGATGTCATCCTCGGAGATGTTGACTCTGCCCTTGAACCAATCTCCCGCTGTGAGCTTCCCCTGCTGGTAGTGTGCGACCAGGATGTTTTTCTCAGTCACCCATTTGACGTCATACTCCTGGGGAGGAGTGTCCTTGCTTACAGCCCCTTTACATGGTAGGGTAACAGTGCCTTTCACATCCACAGTCCGAGGAGTAAATGCTGAGTTGCTGCTCACTATAGGGAGGACAGACAGATATTCGGGCTCAGGTCAGACTGAACATCTGGCAATTTAACATCCTGAATGGTTACAAATACTATTTGTAACTGTAGTTTCAGTATTTTGTTTTACTGCATTTTATTTTCCCCATGTTCTTATACTATTGAATAAGGCTGCATGATATTGAAGAAAATACCACAAAAAAAATTAATTAGGCTACTACAAACATATATAACGTACTGTTCCACCTCGTTTGTACATCTTGTTTTAAGCGTTTTTGAGGCATTTGCAGTTCAATATGAATATCTTCAAAGCAAGTATACACAAGTGGCGAATGGTTAAAGTTTTAACACAAGTTTTCTCCCATTGATGTCAGTTCAGTTACACTTTGTTGCGATGGCAGCCCCTCTTGTATAACAAGCTGCAGCGAGTTCGCAAAACAGTCCAAGTTAGCGACTCCCAAATCATCCATTGCTTTTTTGTCTCGCACAGTTTATCAAGTGGGATTGTCCATTAAACGCTATTCCCACCTCTCAAAACTTTATTTTTACAAAGATTGCAAATCGCTGTGCTACTGGTTTCTGTTAAAAGCGTGAAATACTCCCAGATCGTCACGTCTTATCTTACGCTCCTCGTACTCCGAAGGGTATGCACAAGACGTCACAGCAGGCGGAAGTCACTGTACTCACACCCACTGAGTAGCAAAAAAGACTGAGGGGCAGCGATAGTGTTCGATTTGAATGCCGCAAAAAAACATGTAAAATGGAAAACAGCTGTTGTGCGATTGATTGTACAAATAGTTCCTATTTCTGTTAAATCTATCTATTTAGAGATTGCCAAAAACTAAATAAGTAAGTATAGGACGTGGATCGGTCACGCATGGCCGATACCCGATCCATCAAATAGGTTTTACACTATTCAAAAAACTTAAGAAAAAAAGCAGTAACTTCATCGTGTCACTGCAGACACACAGTCAGTACTCACCATGCAGGATAAGGTGGAGGAACGGTATAAGCAGTGTCCAACGCTCCATCAGGACGGCCGGGCAATTGAGTCATCGGCTCAAATGCAACACAACTGAGGACTGAGAAAGAAATGCAAGAGATAAATGTGATGCCACACAGGCAGGCGATGAAGAGCTGTGGATATGTGGGGACACCGAGGCACTGAGGCCTGTTTTTGGGTCAGTCACCTAAGATATCTGGGATAGGGTGGCTCATTCGCTCCAGCTGTGCTGCTACACATCACAGATGCCCTGTGAGACGGTGCTGCACAGTGTGTGTGTGTTTGTGTCCAGGAGCTACACATCAGACACTGATGATATGTGCTGAGATGGTGAGCGTCATGATGGCCGAAAGCTAAGCTCAAGAGAACAGAACTCCCTCTTTCTATACAATGCAACAGTAAAATCAACCAATAAATTCCCCATACAACACCCCATACTACAGCACTGATTCACCTGCCCCCAGGATTCTCCTCCTCGCGACATCGACTAGTAAAGTAATCGCAGT